CTTGAGACGAATAATCGTATTATTTTAATTGCTCAGGTGCTTTCGAATTTTGATATAAATTCATTTTTGTTACGATTGTTTTGATTTCTCGTATCGCATAAGCAGTTAGTTTCCACAAAAATCTGACAGGTCTATTAAATTCAATAAGAAGAAACAATATCTTTCTTTTGAAAAATGTTACCACAAACTAAGTAGCATCTCTTTTGCTGTTCAGAATTGTATTTTCTCCTATCGCGCTTTTCACTGCACGTACATTCGAATTGATAATAGATGTCCTTGCATGCAATCTCCTTATTTCTGATCAATCACTAATGTGTTTGCTATTAAGAATGAGATTAGTGAAGTAGCCTATCAGTGAGCCTGCCGGCGAGAAAGTCAGTCAGTCAGTCAGTCAGTCAGTCAGTCAGTCAGTCATTCGGTCAGCCAGCCAGTGAGTGTGTCAGTTAGTCAGTCAGCCTGTCAATAAGTCAGTCAGTCAGTTGTTCAGTCGTAAGTCAATTGGTCATTCGTCAGTGAGTCAGTCAGCCATTCGTTAGTCAGTCAGTCGTCAGTGAGTCAGTCGTCAGTGAGTCAGTGAGTCTGTCAGTCAATCAGTCAGTCGATCAGTCAGTGAGTCAGTCAGTCTGTCAGTCAATCAGTCAGTCGATCAGTCAGTCAGTCGTCAGTCAGTCAGTCGTCAGTCAGTCAGTGAGTCAGTCAATCAGTCGTCAGTCAGTCAATCAGTCAGTGAGTCAGTCAGTCAGTCAGTCAGTCAGTCAGTGAGTCAGTCAGTCGGTCGGTCAGCAGGCAGTTAGTCAGTCGGTCCCTTACGGCCAGTCAGCCAGCCAATTAGCCAGATGTTTGATAGTCCGCCCGTTTGTCCTTCAATCGCTCGTTCGTTCGTTCGGTCAGTCGGTCATTCGGTAAGTAGGTCAATCGGCCTAAGAGTCAACTAGGCAGTGGGTCCTCAAGTCCTTGTTTTTCAGCATTCATCAAACATCAATCATCGATTGGTCGGTAAATAAAGCAACCCTTTAATCGCTGTTAGTTCCCAGCTCCATGATCGAAACGTGACAGGCAAAAGTTTGACAACAGTGTACATAATAATTTAAAGACAACATATTTTTTTCGCGCAATTCTTTTTGTTTGGATTATTCCGTCCCTACAAGCTCACTCCAAGTCTCTTTCTCTATAATAGTGCATGCCTTCTCGTTAGCCACCTGTAAAAATAACAAACAGCGAAGCCGGATTAATGAATTAGTAGCCTTTTAGCAGAATTCATCAATGCTCTGTCATATGCTCCTTACTTGATTTCACAGCTGTTTTTTTTTTCTTAAGCTGTTATGTTATTTCATATCGAAAGTCGCCAACCAAATGATCTCTGTAGATTGTTCACATTCTAAATTAAAGAAAGGAGCTGTTAACAACTGCGCTCATGAGAGATGTGTTTTACCTCAGTGAGCAGTCAGTATCATTGTACATAGTGTTTTCCTCTTGTCTCAGTTGTAGTTTAAGCTAAATGGTGTTTGAAGAGATCACCGTCATTTTTGTTTTCATTGTTTTTGTGATGAAGATGACGATGGGTTTTTTATGTTACTTTAAGTTGTTGGTAGCGTTACTGATGGGTTGCCCGACTTTTTAGCTGTTGTTATTGCTAATCGTTGCAATTTAATTGCTTTTGTTGAGGTTGATGATGAAGATGACGAGAGTTTTCTTTTTATGTTACTTTAAGTTGGTGGTAGCGTTACTGATGGATTGTTCGACTTTTTAACTGTTTTTCTTTAGGTCCCAAATAAGAGTGACGGAAGGTGAAGACATAATTGAAAAGAAGGATTTCTTACACTGTCTACAGCTTGCTTGGCAGTTCTTCTTCATTTTCTTGGTTTTGCAGCTGTGGAAGAACATTTCCTGTTTCTTACACCACCTGTGACTTTTACGGTTTGCGCACCGCGCACGCTTTTCAATATCGTCGAAAACTGGTAACATATCTGAGAGATGAAAGTTTCAAAACTGGTCAGTTACTTCGGCCCGAGCCTTTTTAGATGAAAAACATCAACACGATATTCTCTCGCCCTTTTCATTGCTTTACAAAACCTTTTTTATGGAAAGTTTTCCATTATCGTTGAGCGTGTTTGGCAAAGAAGGAGAGAAACGAATTCCTCTCCAAATGTACATGTGCAAAAGACTTTGCACGTCATTGAGGAGAAAAGTGAATGACAACAAGTTGAATTCGAATGACATTTAATTAAATTTCCTGATTTTAGATTGCTTATTTTGAGGAAACGGTTGAAGCATTTTCGATCAATTATTCGAGAAATATCCTGATTGAAGTTGTCGTATTGATGAATGACAACTCATTCATTTAGTACATATTTATCTGTTGCTGATTTTTTATTCATGCAAATATCTATCAAGCGGTGTCTACGCCTTCACCCATTACTGAACCCATGAATTAAAAGGCGATTTTATCTTTTTCCGACATTACTTGTAATTCATTCTGACAATGCTTCTAAACATAAAATAAAGGATTAAATAAAACATCTATCAAAAGGATTAAGCTCACCTTCGAAAAGAATTTTAGTAATGAGACCTCTCCCCTTCTGAGTAGTTTCACTATCATCAAATTCTGCACTAGCAATTCCAATAAACATGAGCAGGAAGAGAAGGAGACAACATATTCCTGTGTGAGGCATGATCGCTGTCAATGTTTGCTGTCAGGGAGGGCGAATTTCCACCTGTTTAGGGAACATACAGTCATATTTGCATCTTTTTTTCCACCCTACTCTGCTCTATTTAACTTAGTTTTATGGGAATTTTAAGTATATAACTGGCAGAAAATCTAGTTCTTTTTCATGTATCAGAGTTAATACAATCACAAAAATGTATGCGATTATTCATGGTTTTTGGAGTTTCCCACATTCCACCGATGAAACAATTTGCAGGTCGAGAAGCATTTATCGGAAAGTGTTCACAAACCCTGGGAATGGCGTTGCAACTACTTCAGTTAATTGGAAATTTAATAGTCCCAATGAACTCCCTTAGAAGAAGTTAGTGATTAGTGAGTCTTGTATGACTTGTTCAGTTGGTTCAGTAAGTTTGACTAGGAAGTGTGTTCTGAGTTCGAAACAAGAGCAATGTGGGTATGATTTAAAATTAAAATGGTCAAAGAACCCTACTGGAGTGATTGTCATGTTAATTCTATGTTAGGGGCTGAAATAACACCGCACAGACTTACTTTTAAATCCTCCTGGCCGTGACTTTGGATGGAAATGGAAGACACGATCGCTCACTCTATTTATGTAAATAAACGGCCACACATCTCCTGACCATTGTGCCGTCCAATCCAAATCAAATTACCCACAATCAGAGAAAAAAAGCGATATGAGGTTATGAAATCTTACCAGAAGCAGTAGAAGAAGAACAAACATGACGTTGACATCCAAACAAAGCCGCCTTTCCGAAAGATAACTTGCCAACTTGCTTAGAGGCAAATTAAAATTTGTTATGAAATATTTAGTAAGTTTTGATTACAATGTTGTTATTTGATTTAAAAATGATAATATGAGCAACATGAAGATTTTTTCCAAAGCTCATATTGAAATAAGATAAATATAAAAAATAGAATAGACAGGTCTCATAAAATGTCAACTTCATCAAGCCTCTAATGGTAAGTAACATAACCGGTTGAGTAATCACCATATGGTGTTCACGCCCACCTTAATTCTTACCAGCCCCGTTAATATTAATGTTGTGGCTGTCATTTTATTTGAGTGAGCCGATAGGATTCGATTGCGCTAGATTATAAATTGAAATTTAAAATCGGCTGGTAACTTAGGAACATGAGTTGTTTAATGTTTAAAGAAAAACAATTCTTTCACGAACCCTGGGTTCAAGTTTCTCTATGATCAATTTTCTAGATTACTTTTCTATATAATAACGAAGCTTAGTTCAGAAAAGGCAAGACTGATTTGCTGAAATGGAAGCTGGTAGAGGGGAATGTAGTGGCATAGTCCTCAGTGCTAACTGTAGCTCATATTCTCAGAACAGGCGCACCTCGCTTAAAACTTAGCGCGGTTAGATTATAAAGATAGTCCTGAGCTTATGTACTCCTTACAATTAAATATCATTTAAAAATTGACACGGTCTCAGAAAAAACTTGTTTTGGAAAATTCTAAAAGCAGATAAGAGAATTACGTGGTTTAGAAACTCAGCAAACCCACATTCGTGGGCCTGTGTTTTTGGCTTTTGAATCAGCAATATCATTGATGACATCTGGTATGTTGCTTATTTATTCATCAAATTCTTTTTTCCAGAAAACCTCCTTCCCCCAGTCCGCACAAGATGAAAAATTTCAATAAATTTACTTTGCACCATTTACGTTTGATTCACCCTGGATCAGTTGATAGTCTCATTTCGAATGGTGCTTTTCGTAAAAAAGCGTTGAAAATTAAGGAAATCAGTTTGACCCCAAAAGACAATGATCTTCTCCTGAGGCTTCATTTTATATGTTATTTATAGTTTTTATACACCTCCTTATTAAGTTGGTCAAAGCGTGATGGGAGGAGCGGGATTCAAACATTTTTTCATCTTCTAACCATTTTGACAAGTGAAAATATTTACAGAGGCCTCACTGTGGATCCGTGTAAGCGTTAGTCTATAACAGTCCTAACAGCTATTTGTCTTTTCGTGCTCTCCTTGCAAAAATCAAGGCTACGAGTTTTCTCTGAAATTTTTTGCGAGTTATATGCACCTTTAAAAAGTCTCTTGACCAGTATTTGAGATGATCATGATAGATCTAGTTACCAATGTGAGGTTTCACAACACATTAATTACAATAAAAAGTACGTGTGTCAACTGAAATGTTTTAGGCCGCTTAGCTTTTTCTTTTACCTGATTAGGAATGTGCCACTCGTGACGGTGTTGAGTTCATGGATTCATGATATAACAGCTCTGCTCACTGAATATGACAACTTCAAATTGATCCCTTCCTTTTACAATAAGATTTATTTGAAGCTAGTGAAAGTGGTTGTTGTTAATAAACATCATTTTATTTTGGTTCCATTACAAGCACTCATGAAAAATATCTCTTAGACGATGACAGCCTTGATTATCGTTCTATCATGCTGACGAGTCCTCTTGGCCTCACGTTCGAGAGAAAAACATCATGTTTAATTTTGTTTACGAGGTAAATAAGACCACTTTACTTGGTACGTTTTAAAAAGAACATCTATGAAATGAGTTCCATATATTTAGCATAATCCAGTACAGAGGTTTTGGCATCTTTTGTTAAATTCTTCCGTTCCTTTGAAACATGCTTCATTATAAAGGAACTCGAACAAGCAAAAAGACATGTCGATTGGGTCAGGACACTCCGTCATCTCAGGTTCTGTAGAGAAAGAAAATTTAATGGCTTTAATAGTTCCAAGAACATCAATGGAAATGAAATAAAGTAACAAAGGAGGTAATACCTGACAAGGAAAACTGATTATAGAATGTTATTTAAAGATCAACAGGTTCTCCGAAAGACGGCGGAAAGTTGCTTAAATTTTGTCAGACTGAAGTTCTGAGAGCACTAAAAGCTTGTTTCTTTAAAACCCCTTCTATTATGGCTACTAGAACCGATGAATGAAAACAATGATAATTCTTAAATACACCAATCACAATCACATTGACGTAAGTTTTGCACATTGATTTGCCTAAGCCCTTTATACTCACCAAAACAGTCTGCATAAGAATATTCTTTGGATAGAATTAAAATCTCGTTCTTCCAGGTAATCAAAACATCAACGTCAATTTGTCCAAGCTATTTGGTAGAATTTCGCTCTTAGTTCATTTATTAGTTAGTGCCTACGCCAGACAGTACACTTAAACGGCTCAAACTAAACCCGTTCAATTTTTCTAAGTAATATTGATCCGATATCAAAGAATAAACGTAGAAAAATCGTGAAACCGTTTTTAGACACCTCATCAAAGTCGTAGGGTCTGGTATTGAAGTTTACTTATTTATCTGGCGATAGATCACTGACACATGGTTTCATAAGGGAAAAATTTCCTCCTTAGGCTGGAGATCGAGCAAGAATAATACCCCATTACTTTTTCCTTTGAAGGCTGCTAAAGAACATATGTCATACATAATTTATGATACTTAATACGCGCTTATAATTATGATGAAATGCCACTTCTTTCTTCCTTTCCCCTCGACGAAATAAGCTGAGTGGGATGGTGCATTCAAAATCTAAGTCACGAAATGACATAAACGCATACTTCAAATTTTGCAATTTGAATCTGAACACGAGAAAATAATGCTACCATTTTCTCTTTGTCTGAAAAAGTGAGAGTTTACGCATAAAGGGTATGAGGTTTCTTCGGGAAGCTCGTGGTCTTAACGATGTCAAAATATAAAACATTTTGATTGCAGTGTTTACAAGGATTTCTATTCCTGAGAAAAGCCGTTACTGCACCCGTGTGAAATTACGATAATTTTTTTTCGTGTGTCCTAGATATCGGTAAGTACTTGGTGTGATCCTTAATGTATGTTAATGTGTGCAAATGACCATGTATTCCCACATGTTCTTATGTATTGATGCATGTATGAAGGATTTCACCAAGTACCTACCTAGATATCGCCAATTAGCCGCTGACTCGTCCTCGCCTTTCGTGCTACTCTGTCAGGTTGATGAATGAGACGGAAAGCATTCACTATTATCAGTCCAAGGTTATGGTGTTTATATGATAAAAAAAATGATGCACAGTTTCTTGCGGGTAGGTACCAAACAACCGTCGTGTTCATCTCGATATCTGACTTCCGAGATATCAAGTTGAGCTCTCGAGCTCCAAGAGAAATTCTATATCTACGTAAGCCATGTATTATTCTCTATTTAAGATTGAAGTAAAGTTTTCTGCAGATATTCTTTGTTTCTCAATTTTAAATAATATTCCCGATTTATAGGCCGCTGTTTTCTTAATTGATTTAGGAAAGTTGACTCTTCGAAAGTTCATAACTACAGGTGGGAGTGTATTATGATAAGACGCGCACGCTTTTATTCCCGAATAAAGTTTGGAAACATATATTATTGAAAACTGAGTGTAACATTTCTTGAGTGACGTATTCAACCCCTTTTTTGTCCGGGTTGATGTGGAAAAGTGGATTCAGTTTGCATTGAATTCGCAAAACTTGCTTTGCTGCTTTTTTTTCTTCTTTTTTTTTTTTGTGTGTAAACGTTGGCCGGCTTGCTTTTAATGCCTTTAAACGACCATACATTGGTCAAAACACAATGGTTTTTTTTGTTAATTTCTCATTATATATCACACGGGCCAATACTTTTAGACTATGAATTATGTTTCAGCTTTAATGTCTTGCGATATATTTAAATTTTTGAGTGTTGAATGTAAATTATCTTTTTGCGATTTTAAAAAAAGTTTTAAAACGACGTACCTTCCAATAATAGCCTGGCGCCTGACACGTCTTGCGTCAATCTCGGATGAGCGAAAGTACCAAACAACAGAGAAGCAAACATGTTGACAACAATAGCGTGCTGCATCATGGTCAGGCGATTTTTTTACTTAGTTTGGTCAGCTGTTGAGGCAAAGGACAAATTAAAACTGTAACACGAACAGAAGGCATCGAAAGCTATTCCACAATATCTGTTAAAAAAAAATCAATTTCAGCATTGTTAATTTTGATGTAGGTGATGTTATAAATCTTCTTTTCCTAATTTCCTAGACGGTTTCCCACTTAACGTTTTTCTTTGCTATCTGTTTCAGAAAGGCACAAGTTACTAAACCACCCAAATGCTTTTCTTATCTCGTGGCCATAGATGCGATAAGATTGCTTCCCGCGTTAGTTGGGAACTACTTTATCATTTGTTTGTGCTTAAACACAAAGCTTCAAGGACGAACCTTACTTTCCGTGAAGGAAAGTGAAGATCTTGATATAATTTGACGAGAATGAAAGCGAAAAAATTTGAGGAAATGAGTGGTGTATAGTGTGTAAAGTGAAAATAAAGCCATACGTAAGAGATTTTACTTACCTAGCTCTCACGCTTCCAACAGCTGAACACGGTGTGCGGGGCGAATATCAACAAATCGTTTTTCTGGTGCTGTGGACTTGATAACTGGCTTGACTTTACAGCTGCCCTGCTGATTATTTCGGTTTGCATCGAACTATAATTACTTTCATTTTTCACACGTGTCAGCTAAATTAATCATCCTGCCGGCATGTTAACACATGCTGTACTATCAATAAAAGCGGAGTTCCTCAAAATAATATCCTCTATGATAAATGCAAATGACTGTCTAGTTGCGCTGTTCAAGTGCAATTTTTTTTTTCTGAAGGTCTTACGTATGTGTACAACTCTCACCGACTTGCCAAACTGTGTAAAAGCTCGCCATTTTCTTTACAATAAGAACCCATCGCTTTTGGTTAAACAGACCCTGAAGAACTCAGCGGGCTCTAGGCTTCATAGCGATAGCTGGATAACCACTTTTTAGGTGTTTCGATCAGTAAATAAAAACCTTTTGTTCCCTGAGAACTTTTCTAATGGAAATGCAAATATCGCGTATGTTTTTTTAAAAAAAGTGCTCTTTTGTTTCAATTGTCCTAATTTCCAAGACATTTAATCTTTACTTACTGCAATGGGTTGTTTTTTTTGGTATAGTAAAGGAACTTAAAGGTTTTTTCAAGACGCGAAGCTATACTCGGACTGAGTACACCATGATCTTTATGGTAAAACACTCGAACATTGAGTGCGATTATTTTTAATAACTTATCCTAATTAGCAGCCCTAACCAAAAGTGAACTTGTGTATTAGCTTAAAAGCGTCATTCTTGCATCTATAAATATTAGCAAAAGACTGCTTTAAACAGCCGATTTTCCTAAGGAAAAGCTACCCATTTTACCTATCTTCTCTTGGCTTATACCACTTTGTACCACGACGTTTTTTTAACCCTCGGGCGCTAAATTTCAAACATGTATGGCTAAAGCTGAATTTAGCTCCTTGAAAAACTACCCATGCCCATATCATTTGAGAAAAATGAAGCACACCTGGGATATTGTTGGTATATTGTTTGCCACGCTCCAAGTTCAACCACTGTCCATTGTGTACTAAATTGAAAACAAATTGCAGCAGATCAATAAGTCAGAGTTTCTTTTATCGTGTTTCCCAGACTCCCACAGATAACTATACCACAAAATTACATGTATACCGCATTGTAAACTATCCCTGATCAAGTACAATGAGTACTTTTTAGTACGTGACAGAATTGTAAAGTCTTTGGGTTTCTGACGTCAGGCTTTGCCTTACTGAAGCATGTTGTATTGTTTTGTTAACATAATACCAAGTTTATGATTACTATGGTGAATTTGCAGCGCTCTCATTCGTCACGTTTATACAATGAATACAAGAACTGCTTCCTTGAAAAAGGCTTCTACCAATAAGTTTCTCATTCCTTGTAGGTTTTTTTCAAGAAATAAAACCGAGCTTACAACACATATCATTGCTTCCCATGTAAGCATTTTTTTGACAAATTTATTGCTCCTAGTTCATGTTTGGTAATACACTTTGTAGACTCATTTCATTTTATAATATCTTAGGTTATGAAACAAGACTTTAGTCATGGACATTCTCTTGAATTGGTTCAAAGATTATGACACTATTGTAATTAATGCAATGTTGGACGGTAGACATGGTGGACTCTATGCAATATCCGTGAAAAAAAAAAATAAATAAATAAATGAAGAACTGAGAAAATTGTTTAGGGCACTGAGTTATCTTCAGAACATATAGAAGCCCAATTTGTACCCCTGTTCGCGTAACAAGAATGGCTGATTGGAGGCTTTGTTATTCATAAACCTATTCTTTTTAAAAAATACTTTTCTTTAATCCCCCTTAATGGGTTTACATCGATTTACCTCAAGTTAAATATTGCAGGAGCATCCACGCTCATGAAGCAATCATTATTCTGAGAGGTGTTTGTGTAAAACATGTTCAATCATATTAATCACTAATAATTAAGAAAAGATATCCAACGCTTCGTCCTGTTCAATATGGTGCCAAGTACACAGCACTGAGCTAGTTCGTGGACAATTTTAGTCTAAGGAGATATGATTAACATTTTTTGAGTGTTTTGCACAAATCTTATTAGAACTGGCTCCTCTAGCCACGAAATTCGTAGTTGATTGCAGAAACTACGCAACTACGATTATTTTCCAAAGAGAAACGATTTGAAGCTATTTGAAGTGCCATCGAATCATGTGAATTCACGTCGCCTAGGTCAGAATGTCAAAGATCTGTATCCTCTACGACGAACACTTTGAAAGTGACACTGTTTAAAGTGTATTCTTGTACTGTTGATCGTTCTTGTTCGTGTAGTATCTGTAGCAGCACCTTCGTTGTTTCGGACAAACGGTTTTTCCGAGATAAGTCATGTGAATATCGGTTCCTTGATGACCTTAATGTCATTTTAGAAGCTGTTTTAAATTCGAAGTCAGCGTAGTCTCCTTTTCTGTCACTTAACTTTGATCCCACAGTTTCTTTAAGAAGATCGCTGAGGGCGGGTGAACGAGTCGGAGATAACTTCTTCATTAGCGTAATATGGAGTGGCAAGGGCTTTTATAACACCACGTCAAATGTGTTGTAAGGCAGACCGTGAATGAATACCAAACTTCCTGTCGTACAACACTGAATCGGCAACAAGGATTTGGCTCGTTGTCTAGAAAAAAGACCAAACCAAGTTATATGCAAACCCTCGTTTGAAAAAGGTACTTTACAAAGCCTCGAGAAATTAAGAGCTTTTGTTTGCTGAGCACTGCTAGCTGAAGCATGTAACAAAAAATGTCACCTGAAAAAACCTCACATGGTATTGTTCAAATTGAAAAGCAGGGACTATCATTACAGACATTTTTTGGGTTTCCATGACGTTAATTGAATTCCACTGTGTCACAAGCAGATGACACTTTGGCTTTTGTCTCGCCTTTTTCGTTATTTCTTTTAATTATGAAGGTAAAATTTATCAAAAGTTTCGATGTCCTTTGGATTTTTCGTAATGTAGTTTCAAAATATCAGCGTTCGTCTGTGTTCTCGCAAGCTCATTTGCAGGCCAAACATAATAGCTGTAGCTTTTAAGACATTAAAGAAGAGATATCTTTCATGTAAATATGCGGGTAATGTTTTTGTGGTGTCTTTTTGATTGATGACCTTGTCATCGAGTCTTAAAACATGTCGAACATCTTGTTAGAGAACAACCTTTAAAGGAAACCGAATGAGTCAAAACCAACAAACAACTAACACGACACTTTAAACAACAAGCTGCATGGTTTAAAGATACACCCATTATTATGGTTGTAAATATTTTTGTTTGACTTGAGGGTTCCTGTTGTGGACCTCCTTAAGTTCGTAAAATGAATTCCAAAAATAAGTACCCATAGGTGCTAGATCCAGGTCTTTCTTTTTTGTGTGTGTCTCAATGTCAGACATATAAGACCAACGAACCTTCTCTTAGATTAAAACAATCTTCAGGAAATCCAAATCAGGATTCTGTTACTGTCTGGAGGTAGTTAACCTTACGCGTTTTCTCGTCAAAGCAGATAAACTGACAGAAAAGGTTGCACTAGCTCGTTTACTGATTTATTCGGGGAAAAGCTAAGTCGTCCTAGCCAACCTATTCAGCATGCCTTCATTCAATTTTTGCTTAATTCGCCATATGATACGCATGTAATTCCTAGTGGTCACGAGGGCTGTGGTGTTTTATAAATTCCACTCACTAATCTTGAGTAAGACTGTCTTTTAATTCTTATCGCGCCGACCGTTAAAAATGTACTATAGATTTGGAGCTGGTGAGCCTTGTTTTCCACGAAACAAAGAGATGATAGAAGAACGTCTTCTAAGCGTTAAAATAGTCTGAAAAAATGTGAGTGTATAATCTGTTCAAGAAATTGAGAAATTTCACAGCTCAGTAGTTAAAAAAAATATTATCCACTGGCTTGTTCATAACAATTGAACTTTGAAGTGCTTCTTATGAACGTACAGTCATGGTGTCCTCGTAAAATTTGTAGCCTGGTGGTACATGGAAATAAGATCTATCCCCCTGAAAGTCAATTTCTGACCAAGTTAATGTTAATTTGGAATGATTGCTTCACTATTTCAAGCTCTTTGGCCATGAAAAGCCCTCTTAGGCAAGTGGTATACTGAGAATTGGAAAATTGTCGTTGCTCAGTAGGGTTTCAATAACCACTAACTGAAGGTAGGCCGTCCCTGTCGCTAAGCCGTGACGTGTGCAGAAATATGCTACTTCAGATTGATCTAGAAAGAATATGTTATTGTGAAGGAGCAGAGGAGTGACATTAAGTTGGTACTCATTTAGTTTTGATTCTGGATCCAGTAAATGGCATTAGGGATGAGCCGACGTTATTTTTATTGGTGTACTTCTTAATGAAAACATAATTTATTTTAGTAGAAAAGTTCTAATAGAAACGATTATCACAAACTTATTGAAAACCATTATCGCAAAAGGGAAAATTTAAAACCACGATATAATGCATTTTCTCTTATTGAAAACGTGTGTCTGGGCGCTCTGAATCGGTAGCTGGTTAGTAGATAGAATTACACTAAAACGCTCCCTCGCCGTAAGAATGAAGAAATTACCCTCGCTCCTGATAGAGACACGGCAATCTTTGACATTGCAGCAATTGTGGTCCTAGGAGACGTCTTCGCATTAGTTATCTTTATTCTGGTGCTCGATACTGTGTTACCCTTGCTGCTTGGCAACTTAAATAATAGAGTCTAACAAGTCCAAAAAACTTAAGTCGGAGACTTCCCGTGGAACAGCTTGGTTGTACGACCGATCGAAGAAGTTTGGACCTTCTTTGCTCCTGTCCCTCGGTGAAAGACATCTGACTTGACTTGACTTTGCTCCGAGTTTGACTAATGGTCGTGGGTCGTGGGTCGTGGGTACAAGTCGTGGGTCGTGGGTGTGGGTGTGGGTGTGGGTGTGGGTGTGGGTAAGAGTCGTGGGTGTGGTTAATACTTAATAATAAAAATAACCATTTAAAGTATTAAATATGATAATACATAAATTTTATACAACCCTGTCATTCATTAATTTAACTGTTCTTTCTTCTAGTTATTTTATTTTGTTTATTCAATTTACCCTTCTTTACGTCTATTTTTATCTGTTATCTCACTGTCAATGAAATTAGTTTCAGTTTCGCGACGGGAAGAGAGATAAATTCCGGATTTACATTAAATTAGTTTCACAACACGATAATTCCGGATCTGTCACCAGCGCGATCGCCGACGAGCGTCCATTGGTCGGCTACTCTGGGATTTGATTTTTCCCTTTTTCTGCTTTTTAGGGTTGTTGTCAAGGGAAATCCACAGGACATTCTTTTGTTCTCTTGCGGTTTTCAAGCCCCAGACGATAAAAATTTCCCGAGGTAATTCACTTAGGGAAAAATCGGTCACACATGCAAATTTGAGTTTCCCTAGGACAAAACCCTGTAGTGTGACAACAGCTGATATCGCGTTTACGATCCTCCACTGTCGAGTTACCAGTCTGGCAAAGGTTATGTGTGTGCCTTTTGAGTCAGTCGACTTGTGCACAATCAGTTTTCCTTTGTATATACAGTGTGTAATTACCAGATTTATCAATCATTCTTTTGTCATTGATGTTGTCAGACGAGATCTCGGAATTTCTATTCTTTGGCTCTGACTTTAGCCGCAAATATAGAATTCACGAGCGCTGTCGCAATTTCAACGTTATAGTACTTCTACTATATGAAATCATTTTTGGTACAATCGTACAAAGCAACACAAGTGTTTCGTTAACACAGACCTCGAAAACGCAGAACGCAGACCGCAGACCGCAGACCGCACAGCTCGAAAAACGTGTATACAGTGTGTAATTACAAGATTTATCTCTCTTCCCTTTGTTATCAAACGAGATCTCGGAATGCGTCGCGAAACTGAAACTAATTTCATTGACAGTGAGATAACAGATAAAAATAGACGTAAAGTAGGGTAAATTGAATAAACAAAATAAAATAACTAGAAGAAAGAACAGTTAAATTAATGAATGACAGGGTTGTATAAAATTTATGTATTATTATATTTAATATTTTAAATGGTTATTTTTATTTTTAAGTATTAACCACACCCACGACTTTTACCCACACCCACACCCACACCCACGACCCACGACTTGTACCCACGACCCACGACCCACGACCATTAGTCAAACTCCTTTGCTCCGTCCATTTTAATGAGAGCAAGACAGAAAGCATCTTGGTACCGCTGATAACAGCGAGATAAGCCGGACCAGAAGAGAATTGTCTGTCATTCGCTCTTTAGTTGAGATTTACTGACGTACTTCGAAAACTTTGCCTTGTTTACTAATATCAAAATGGATTAGAAGAATCTGGTATTTTTATTGTGGAAGCATTGGAACCGTTTGGAATTGACTCCAGGCCTTGGTGAACCTATTCGGTAAAGCTGATATTTTGAGCGATTTTAGGGAATGGCTATCGTGACTAGGCTACGAGTTCACTTGAACACTGACATGTTCGACTACAAAGATTCCTAATTTTTCTGATGGCACATCCGTCGACAAATTGCTGATTAGGCTGGGGCAAAACGTGGTCTTTAAAAATAAAATAATGTAACTGACATCTTTGTTTGCATTGGGTAAAACACCCTCTTTGCTCTTGCCAGACAATTATCCTCAATATTTTCTTTTGGAATTTGTCGCATAACTCAACAAACATAATTATGGTGCTTGTATGTCCTTACTAATTACAGACTCTGATCTGCTGTTCTAGAAATTATACTGCAATCGCAAAATAATTTTTCGTACACAAGGCCTAAAATATCATATTGGTTGTATCAAAACCGTTCAAAAACTCTCCAGAATAGATTTTTCATCGCTTGATGCGGTTTTCCACTCCAAACGTTCACGATCATCAAGGCTGGAAAAGGGGAGAATTATCGAGAACCAGACAGCAGACTCATAAACAACCTCTTTAAGGAAAAAAAAACATGGCCGCCCCTAGTTCAAAAGGTCATTTACGTAATTGTTTCAAGATAAATTATGTCGTGAGACGTCTATTGCACTGAGGCTCAGGTTTGTGATTTCAGTTAGTCGGTATCACCCGCGTCTGGAATTAAGCGTTTGTAATCGGCTTTTGGTAACAGTCGGTACGGTAAGTATTAGTTGGTTACCTATATTAGCTACCAATAGTTAAATATAGCCAAGAAAACTCGAGCGTCAATCAGTTTTTAGAAACAACATCCTCGACGTCATTTACAAAATGTGTCAAAACTTTAAGAGTTATCACTCTTTGAAAAGAAGTTGTGGTGAAAATTGCCGACACGCAACTTAGAATTCGTCTTTTTAATATTGGCAGGAACACTGAAGCCTGTGATCCATAACTGCAGCTTTAATCAAATTGTGCTGTCGATCAGTACTTCACAGCTAGCGGCGAGTGGATGATAGTGTTCCTTTGAGTCATGACAGAGCCACATGACATACAGAATAACAAAAACGCAACCAGAATACTGAAAATGAAGTCATGCCCTGAAACTTTGGGTTGTTTTGGATTTACACGACTCGTTGGATCAAAACCGAATCGACAAGAAGAATTTGATCAACTTTTGGAGAGCACAAGGTACAGCCAGCTTGAAGAACTTTATTACGATCATGCTCAGCGATCAAACAAACCGAAGCTCGCCAACGTGCTACTCAAGATACTACAAATTCAAGAAGTGGAATCGATTCAAGAGTATACTGTGAACGGAAATACATTCAAGGTACACGTAATAGAAGACACAGAGCTATAATATAAGACATTTGTAACATTATCCACTCGTCTTCAGGCTAGTTTTTAAACAAAAAAAGAAAGTTAAGCCACTGATACCCACGTAGTGTTTCAGAAAGACAACATTGCACCCTTTTGTTCGAAAGAATTACCGTTGGGGATTTGGTTCCGTGCTACTCATGCGTGAACTCTTACGTGGGATGTATGAAACATTCTCTGCCAAGTGAGACAAAAGAAGTTAATGGAAGTTAGTGAGGTACTTTAAACGAGGTTGACCTTCTTTGTTCGTTCCGACTTTGGTGTGCAATGTTTGTTAAGGATGAAGCCGAATAGTTTTATACAGCACATAAATGTTGCTTTGAGTTACAAGCAAGTAATGTAGCGATTCTATCAGACTATTGTCGACGTGTTTTAAGTTGCTACTGGCTGTCAGTGAACCTTAACTTATTAGAGTTTTTAGAGAACAGATCTGCTATTTCGTTAATCGTCTTTTAAGTGGTGAGAAGATTACAGATGTTCCTCTTATGCTCTCTGATAGTTATTTCAGATAAAGAATTTCCGTTTGAACTGGTATTTTAGAGGGGGGATACAATAATGCTATTTTCGCTTTGAGAAAGATCTTTCAAACAAAATGACTAAATACATGACAATGTCTATTTTCTACTGTTAACTTTCTTAAATCAGAATTGAAAGTACATACGTCATGGTCTGCAGAATTACTGAAGAGCTAAAATGTTTCACCTAGTTTCTAGGGCCAAGGGTCAGCCATATTTTGTTTAAACATGTTTTAAAACAGGGTTCACTTTTGTTCTTTTAAAAAGGTAAACAGCTACATGTACCAACCAAAGGATTGAATGAATTTTTGTTTTTCCAGATGAAAACGTTGACAAGAATTTTTATGTGCATTTCAAATACTCCAGTTCATAGTTTTCGTCGCTGGAGATTCCATGATAATCCCGGAGTTTGCACTCAGCATATTTGTTGTTCGCAGAGAGCTCCAGGCAAAAATGTCTACGCGTTTAAAATATAGATTTTCTCTGGTGGTCATGGTTGTGATATACAGACTACGGATAAAGGAGTGAACTTAAATAAGTTAATAATATACATGAAAAATGACCCAGTTCTGATTCGCTAAGCTAAGAAAAGTGCTGTTCTCGTGTACACAAGTGCAAATTTGTGACGCAGTTAAAAGTGAGGTTTCAAAACAGCGGTTGGGTTCTTGTAAAGGCCAAGCTTCCATAATCGAGGATAATTCCGACTGAACAATTTATTTTTACAGGTTATTGTCCACTGAATTTTCTTTGAAATATTTTTGAATGGTTTAAAACTCAATCTTTACACGTTTCTGAGTTTACAGTTGAATAACTTTTGAGAGGTAGGAGTTGTAGAGGTTTGAATTTCCCGAACGTCGTAATGCAAACTGAGTACCATAAAAACTCCTGTTGTTTTGGCTTTTCGTTGTTCTTGTTTATTGTATATTTATGATAGGTAATCATATGACTTCTCGTGTTATTTGGAATTTACAAGCACTAGTAAGTTTTCCAATTCTGGGGAAAAAAGGATAAAAAAGCAACCGAAACCGACCGAAACCTAACAAGAAAAAATACCACAGTGGCCATAAAAAGATAACTGATAAAAAAACGGAGATAAGATGAAAGCGATGATTATAGGTGAAGAAAAAGTAGAAAATACCACAAAACCAAAAGGCGAGTTTCCCGGGGAGGAAATACTTGTTGCTTCGTGTAGACGGCCCTTGGTAAAGCCCCTGCCCTGTTCTTGGTAGTTTCTTCCCGAACTGTCCTTTGCCTCAAGGGACGATATTTCTCCACAAATTCTTTCGTATCTCGGGGTCGATCTCTGCTGAAGGTAGAGGTCGCATAAAGTCGTTTACATTTGCAAACTCCGTGCTGGTCTGAGGGACAGGATAGTAGGATTTTTCATGAGTAAAATACTTGGCTGCCCATTTCGTTACTCTCTTCAACGACTCCTTGGTAATTAATCCAAAGTCTTGGGAATACTGTAATGCGGTGAAGGTCTCATGGTTAAGATGTGAAACTGCATGTAGATTCTCCACAAATGTTGTGAGTAATGTGCTGAATTCAATATCTTGGAGATAATCGTTGTTAATTGAAGCTATGCTGTTGTGCAGGCGGTGCATTCCTTCTTCGAGAAGTTTAAGTGAGATTAGAACATAGCTAGCAGAGCCGCGCAATTAAATTTAATATACGTAAACGTGCTCAAAATCTCGATAGTGCACGCTGATAGCGTGAGCAAATCGCTTCGCCAGAAATTTTTTTTTCGCGCGAGCGGCCATTGTAAGCGCGGGGGAAAATAATATATTTAGCAAAAATAAAGGATATAAATAGAGACTCAGCCCACTCTTCACAAAACGAAGACAATTTTCTGACCTTTTCTCATGGGCTAGAGTTCTTTTAAAAGTGAGGCAGAAAAAGGGAAAAATTTGGATATATCAACAAAGTTGAAATAATAAATTGGCCACCGTAACGATTACAAAAGCTGACGTTTCGAGCGTTAGCCCTTTGTCGGAGCGACTAGAGGAATTATGGGTTGTGTGTGCTTTGAAAGGCAGAAAATACAGCTACGTTATTGGTGGGAACATGGCAACGAGAAAAACACGAATAAATTAGTGGAATGAAAAGCGTTCGTTGATCCCTGTGGGATTTAGGCTGCCGGTTTGAAAGATGAGCTTTTCTTCAAGAGTTTTACGGCTTTCCGTGCTACCTAAGTGTAAGGAAAGACCGCAGATTGTCATATGTTGCTTAGAATGATTAGGTAAATTAAAGTGTCGGGCGACTCGTTCCGATGTGTCCTTGTCATTCTTTTCCACGTCGGGAAGGTGCTCTCGGAATCGGTCACCGGTTGTGAGGTTGAATGAAATGCGGTCGGAATCTTCCTTTTGTGACGTTTGTAGTGCTGAATGTCGATCAATAAGTTGGGCGCGGTGGTAACCCGCTTGAACTACAGAAACAGGGTAACCACGTTTATCTAAAAACTGGCACATTGACTCTGATTTGTGGTGGAAATCAGAGTCATCACTACATAAACGGCGAAGTCTTAGAAACTGAGAAAAAGGAATGGAATTCTAAACGTTAAGAATTCCATTCCTTTTTCTCAGTTTCTCAGCAATCTCATTTTTCTCAGCAATCTTTCCTTACACTTAGGTAGCACGGAAAGCCGTAAAACTCTTGAAAAAAAGCTCATCTTTCAAACCGGCAGCCTAAATCCCACAGGGATCAACGAACGCTTTTCATTCCACTAATTTATTCGTATTTTTCTCGTTGCCATGTTCCCACCAATAACGTAGCTCCATTTTCTGCCTTTAAAAGCACACACAACCCACAATTCCTCTATTCGCTCCGACGAAGGGCTAACGCTCGAAACGTCAGCTTTTGTAATCGTTACGGTGGCCAATTTACCATTTCAACTTTGTTGATATATCCAAATTATTTCGTTACTCCCACCGACGCAGCCCCAAACAGTTTCTTTCGAAACTATCAGCCTTTATTCTAAAATGGATGCCCGCTACTCCTCTGACTCTGTTGGTAGCACATCGAGTGCGGGAACAAGTGAAAGTACAAGTCCAGAGNCTAGCAACCAACGGCCCCGAAGGAACTGTGTCTCATAAAACTCAATTTAAGAATTGGTTCATGCTTTAGCGTGCACTATCGAGTTATGGAGCACGTGGGAAGTTTGGAGAGCACTCAAGAAGCTAGAGTTGCCCTAAGCTATTGCCTCGGGCAACTCTTACGTTTCTTTCGTGCTCTCCAAACTTCCCACGTGCTCCATAACTCGATAGTGCACGCTAAAGCATGAACCAATTCTTAAATTGAGTTTTATGAGACACAGTTCCTTCGGGGCCGTTGGTTGCTATGGTTTCCTTTATACTGTGCCGTTGTTTCACCTCAGAAACGGTCTTTGATGTTGTCATTTACCCTGATACTTTGTCTACGGCATCTTGAAGAGACAATTGTGCTTTCTCTATGCTTTGGGCTCCGATACCAAAGCTGTCATAGAGACTTCCTAGAACGACACAGTACCACTTCTAAGACTTCTAAGAACGACACAGTACCACTTCTAAGACTTCTAAGAACGACACAGTACGACTGAGTACGACACAGTACGACACAGTACGACACAGTACCACTGAGTCCCGACGCTAGTTTAATGCAACCTGTAGCCACATCCAATATGAATAGAGTCTTCTCCATAGAACAGATGCCATGAACTTGCGTAAAAGAACTCGTTTCATCCATTCCTTCACTTGCTCCTTCCTGACCAGAGCCCATCAAGGTTTTAACGTTTTTTTCAGAAGGACTGAAGAACTTTACCTTTCGATCCCCCGAGTCAGTGAACGCTTTCCCATCTTCAAATTCACAAAGTCTTGATTTCTCTACAAGACTCCGAGTTGTTCTTTAGAAGGTGGTCAACTTCTAAGCTTGAAAGGTCACAAACGTAAAGGCCACTGTCTAGACCTACTGATGCAAAGTAAGCTCTTTGTTTGAGAACTTCCACAGATATGATATTAAAAATGCCAGTCGGATAGGTCACGACTCTGACTCCGGTACCAGCCATGCCAACTCCATTGTAGTGTAATGTCACTCGTATAATTCCTCTCTGGGGATCGTCTGCACACAACAGAATGTTTTCACTTGCAGCACAGACTGAAGTTGACTTTTCTAAAGAAGGCCGGGCGAACCTGGACAAGCTTCGAGTTTCCGAATTCAGAGACTTCGAGTTTCCGAATTCATCACTTAAGATATCAAGGAGGCCATAATAACGAAATGGTATATCTCTGCGACTACTACTGTGAAGCCATGAGGTGCACAATTAAATGCTGCACAATGTAATTCGAGCTAGCTAAGAACCTCTCTAAAATCACACGAAACCAGAATATGCCCAGCAGACAAACATCATGAAATAGGACCAGTCAGTCGCATCACTGCGACTCTATAAGATTTAACTTTAGCCATTAGGACATAGACTTTTTATGCTTTTACTTCAATTTTAAGTTTATTTACTTTAATTGATTTTAATTTTAAATTTCCTCTCCCTTTGTTAAGCTCCTGGATCTGTCATTGGATAGGCGCTATATTTACTTATTATTATTATTATTTTTATAATTATTATTATCATTATTATGAAATTTTTCACATTCACTTTGGCTATGTCATTATAATCTACATAAAACATAATCTACATGAATTCAAGAATGACAAAATTCTGACGGCGCCTATAAGTCGGCATCTAATATAATGGGCGTTTTATAATAAAGAGTAGGCTATTAACTGATATATTTATACCAATAACGAATACCAAACCACTCTAATACAGACTGTTTAATTCGCTATCTGTTCCAGCCAGCATGGTCGGAAGCTCCAAATTCCTTTGCTCGTCCGTAGTTAACGCAAAATTATCCCTCTTGCCGCCTGATTTCGAAGCCTTGTGATAAAGTTTCACATCAAAATCTCCGAGGCCATATTTACTAGACAACTCCTATAGACCAAGGAACGAAGTAAGGTGCTTTTTYAGCGCCAGTGCGGTTTTAAAATCTTTGATAGGAATGCGGCTTCTGTGACGCTCAAATGCCGTTTCTGACTCAATTCGGTAAAAGCTTACTGACAGCTCTTAAAATACCAGCAATCACGGCCATCGCTTAAGTTGACGATCGAGTTAGGTATCAAAGACCATATAACTGATATGTGACACATGACCTTGATGTGGATGGCACATGCGGTAATTATTAACGAAATAGGACACTCTGGCGTACTCCTACTGATATGTAATGGAAAATGTACTTTCTTTGAACACAATAGATCAACTGTCCTTATTTTACATCCAGTTTTTAGGATATTTAGGGCGATCCGGGCTTTTGTCAGTTGTCAGTAAAAGCCCACCACAAATGTCAGTTGTCAGTTAGTTTTTCAGCGATTTGTCAGTTGCCAGTTAAAATTTTGGCCATTTGTCAGTTGTCAGTTAACCCCAGTACCTTTGGTCTCGGTAAGTTCCTCAATGGCTACGGCCTAGGGGCGTACCAAGCTACCTGTAAGCCAAGTAAGAACTGGCTTTTGGTTTTTGTTTTTGATTAAATTTTCGGCAAAATAGCCCGAGGGTAATCGCACTGAGAAAATTTCAAGAGGTTCTTTCAAGAATGACAAATAAAGTCCGTCGCAAAAGTTAACAAAGAGCTAGGGACAACTGGAGTAGTTTTTGAATAGCCGTTACATAAAAAAAAAATTTTTGTTCAGATAAGATAAAAAAAATGATTAAAAAATTCTACTTGTGTTCAAGTGTACCTTTCAAAAAGAGTTCTTGTTTGTTAATTTCAAAAGCGTCGCAGATTCGAAAATAACAAGCTGATCATGACATTTTTTATTGAGAACCCCGGCATGCAATGTCAATTCTCACTGACAATAATTGTTTATTTGTTTGCT